ATCTGGTGGAAAGATTTCCCTATTCAATATGATGACATTTAAGGTAACACGCCTTCAGAGTAGTTAGCTCTATTTTTCCATATATATATATATATTTTCATTATACTCATTGAAATTTCTTGTTGGCAACTACAGACAATGACAACTTTCATGCCGCCGCCGCCTGCTGCAACGTTTCTTGCTTTCCACCCTCAAGATAACAATATTATCGCTATTGGAATGGATGATTCCACTATTCAGATATATAATGTCCGTGTAGATGAGGTATGATGTAATCTGTGGACAATTTATCTCAGCACCTGCTGTTTGAGATGGCTATTATTTAGTTTTAATTTTCTTGATGCAGGTTAAGAGCAAGCTTAAAGGTCACTCTAAAAGAATAACTGGCCTAGCATTCTCTCATGTACTAAATGTGCTAGTTTCATCAGGAGCAGATGCTCAGGTATTAGAACCTAATCAGCTTTTGTACCTTGAATTAATATTTTCTTATATGGTTTTCCTTCTGGGGTAGACTGAAATTGAATCAAACTCCCAAATATGCTTATATTACCAAAGTGAGATAATTTCTCTGACAGGCTTCGAAACAAATTAACCATTATAAGTGTGGCCTTTTATTAATAGTTATTTTTTATAAGTGTATTCCGTGTTCTAGTTTCTGATTCAACATGCATTTATTTTTCCTATTCAAGCTTGTTCGCTAAACTTTCCAGTGACTCCATTTTTCTCCTTAAAAAGTTTTAAGTCAATTGTTAAATCTGGAATTACCATGACAAAAGTATTTCTCTGTAAATATAATCAGGTCCTTGTGAAGTAATACTGAAATCACTAATAGTAGTTTGGTTATTATTTCTTTTTTCTACTTCAGCTTTGTGTATGGAATCCTGATGGATGGGAAAAGCAGAAGTCCAGATTCTTGCAGCTTCCAGCTGGGAGAACAACAGCTTCACAGTCAGACACGCGTGTACAGTTTCATCAGGACCAGATGCACTTCTTGGTTGTGCATGAGACTCAACTTGGCATATATGAAACAACAAAACTAGAATGTGTAAAGCAGGTACATTTGTCTCTAGGTGCATGTCATGGAGATTTATGAGTGTCCTTCCAAGTATTTTTTAAATTTAAATTCCTTTTCCTCTTGCTTGTTTAGTGGGTCCCACGTGATTCTGCTGCACCAATTTCCCATGCAACATTCTCATGCGACAGCCAGCTTGTATATGCCAGCTTTTTAGATGCAACCGTGTGTGTGTTTAGTGCTGCAAATCTCAGACTACGATGTCGTATTAATCCTTCTGTTTATCTTCCTGCTAATGTCAGGTAATTCCCTCTTTCTGCTGCCCAACTTCAACTGACTTTCCACCTTTATTTCAATGGTGCTTTTCAAGATTTAAATTTGGGTGGTACTTGTTCAGTATTATTTTACAAGTCCGGGACATGTTTAAACCTGATTTTTCTTAACAAGAGTTTAAACACCATTTTAATGTTAGATTTTGGAACATACACTTATTAATCTGGTTGTGCCCGTCCTGGGCGGAGGGTGGTTTATGGTATCATGGTATGGCTAGAATTGTTGCATATGACAAAACAAATACTGAACTTTGTAACATTTTAAAGAAAAAATTACCAATTTTAGCTCCCCACTTGTATGATTTATTTACCACTTCTATAAAAACCCAAAATTTGGTTGCTTACACAGCCTAATAGAATAGGAATTAAACGACACTTGTCTTCAAGGCTTCAACCATACATTAGTGTGTTAATCTCTATATGCATCCTAAGCACAGAAGTTTTCTTCCAATATATATCGGTATATGAGCTTTAATTACACATTTGACACAGCCTAATAGAATAGGAACTAAATGACACTTGTTTTCAAGGCTTCAACCATACATTAGTGGCATAATCTCTATATGCATTCTAAGCACAGAAGTTTTCTTCCAATATATATAGGTATATGAGCTTTAACTACACATTTTATGAAAATCATATCAAAATGCAGACATTAACTCATCCATGCATCTTTGCTTTAACTAAGGAGATCATCTTTGGACTTCAGACTTAAAAAAAACGGAAATCTTTGTACCAGTCATTCTATTTGTAGCATGCCTCTTTGATTACTTTTCTGTATAAATGTCAAGATACTGGTTTGGGAAATCTAAATCCTCCCAGGTTTGTGATAGCTGTGTTGACAGTTCTTGACTCCAGCACTTTGCTTCCCCTTTTGCAGCAATAACGTACAGCCCCTCGTGATTGCGGCACATCCACAAGAACCAAATCAGTTCGCATTAGGACTATCGGATGGTGCTGTTCATGTCTTTGAGCCCCTCGAATCTGAAGGCAAATGGGGCGTGCCTCCACCCGTTGAAAATGGGTCAGCAAGCAGTGTGCCAGCTACTCAAGTTGGAACTGCAGGTTCAGATCAAGCACAGAGATGATCAAAAGGCTGGCAGAGCACAAGTTCTTTTACATGCTTGGCTTGCTGGCCCATTCCAAATATAGGTATTTTGCATTTGACTACTTGCTATTTTTCCTAAGAGTGGTATTTATATTCCTTTGACACATTTTTGCCTTTTTGTTCTTTGTTTTTTGTTTTTCTTTTAACGCATTTTTGTTATGTATTGCTGCAGTTTGTGTTCTTGATGCAATGTAATTTACTCAAGGAATGAATGATGTGCAGATATGTAGATTTAACATGTTGGTTCAGAATATCAGTAAGGTAAATGCTGTAGGAGTATTGGCAGTGATCATGTATTTATTTTCTGCGTCAGAAAGGAAGAGTTTAATGTCTCTCCCTTATGCTTTTCGTCTTCCAATTGATCATGAATATATAATTCTTGTTAATTTTCTATGTCAATTTCCGTTGCTGTCTCAGTTTTCTTTTCTTTTGACTTCGGCTGTTGTTAGTTGGATGTTAACCTGCAAGTCATTGTAGGATAATAATGGACCTTTGTCCTTTTTTAAGATTCTGGTTTCTCTTGAGGAAAATGGTAGGGAGATGACATTATTGAACCGTATTGCCCTTTTTAAAGATTTCCATTTCTCTTTAGGCATGACAACGTTATTGTATCACATTGTGTACCACTTGTCTAATAGCGGTGCGACATACTTGTTTTGCCCGACTCTTCCTCTATTAGAGAGGGGTGGCACACAATGCGTTACAATAATGTGGTCTCCGTGACATAAACCCTTTCTTTTTATGCAGAAATGTGGACGCACCTTATGAATCTATGACGAAAAATCAAACTGTGACATTAGAAAAAGCGTCAAAGAAAATGCATAAACTCTTGCATTTACCACATAACAATAAAAAGGGAAATCAATGTCATAAGAGAAAAACTGGATATCGTAAATAATGTAAAGTGAAAAATATAAAAAAGGTATACAACAGTTATTTTCTAAAACCCTACTAATCCCGCAGACGCAATTTGCCCTACATTCCGTAATGCTTTTAAACACGTCATTTTCTATCCATGCTGGTGCTGCAAAGCTTGCAAACTAGGAAGGTGAGTCGACTGAAGCTTCCTAATACCATACAATCCTGCACGACTCAAGCATTGATGCGAGTGCCCAACTCAGTATCCCAATCAAGTAGAAAGTAGCCACGAGGGAAGCATCTTTTCACAAATAAAAGTTATTTCTTCCTTGTTAGCGAAAGGATAGAGGCAAGCCACAACAACATTTGAGCAAGAAAAGTAGCTACTGTTGTTTCAGTAAATTTCCCTGTCTTCATAAATTAGTACCGGCAGTCCAATAATTGTGTACATCCAAGATTCCTCTGTAAAATACCAGGAATG